GCCGTTTATCTTCCCGCCGGAGCAGTACCTAAGCTATTAATGGTTGTCAGGTTGAAATGACTCTTGTACCCTAAAGAACTGTATAGAAAACACAGAGCAAAAGAGGCTTGGGGTACCGTAAAAGCCAACAGATTCATTGTGCCATAAGACACTGGAGACTGCTTTGCCAGGTCTATTTTATCAAGGCTCCAGCCTCCAAAAGCTTATTGCACAATAAATCTGTTAATATTAAGGCACCCCAGTCTCTTTTGTTGTGTTTACTGTGACAAACTAACACTGCTACCTCTCTGAAATAGAACAGGGTTTTGTTTTTTGTTTAAAAAACCAAATCACAGAGGTCTAGCCCTGGCTCTTGAGCTATTCCCTGCTATATGTTAGGTACAGGAACTCCCGCATAATCTTCACTAGACAGTTCTACAGCTTGTAAGTCTAAATGCCTGTGATCAACATTAATTTGTCCTAATTCAGTTTTTGGCAACTTAGACAAAGCATTTCTTAATGCATACTTAGATCGTTTCTAGATCTCGAAAAATTATTGGGCATTGTTTTCTGAACTGACATGCATTAATTAGTACACTCCTAAGGCAGTGCTGCGTTGGAAAGAAAACCTTGTTGTGTAAGGCATTTTCTATGCATGCATTTGAAAGCCTTGATCTGTTTGGTCCAAAAATTGTTCTCACGCTAGCTGTCCTGTCTTTTGGTTCCACAATGTTCCTTGCTGTTATTGAGCCTAATAGGTTCCATTTGCCACTTCTATGAGAAAATTGGCTTCTTCTGCTTAGGAAATATATTAGCATAAAACAGGAGATGCAGCAATCCTTTCATTAGTGACAGTGTTCATTACTCAACAAATGTCATCCCCAGATTTCTTTTTGCTTGGTCTGTCCCAGGACATGTGTTTGTAATTGGTATTGTTTGTCAATTGTTGTTTCAGGACACAATTTAGAATCTTAGAATCATAGAATTTGAAGGAGCATGGGAAAGGTCTGAAGTTCCAGCCTCTTTTAATTATTCTGAGGCCCAGCACACGTGACTATCTTGTGTTCTTCACATTATCGTGCCTCTGATTCCAGTGTACATTGTGGCTTTCCTTTATTTCTCCACATACAGCAGCTCCAAGAGTACTGTAGTGGACCAGTGTTCAGCTGAGTGGGGTGAGCGTAGCCAATGAACACAGTGGGGAGGAAAGCTCAGTTTATTCAGCTATAGCAGATGGCACAAGTAGGTTGACACCCAAATTATCTATGCAGCTCCTTGAAGTGCACAGCAAATATTTATATGGTTCTAATACATCGTTACATGTGAAAAATGTGTGATCACAATTAGTATTGGTCACACACAAGCATGTACTACTCCATTACTAATTAACATTAAGCATAGACATGGGCCTCAAAGGGGGGGAAAAACCCTTGTGGTCAGTCTTCAGTTAGACTCGAGGGCTTAATTTCTCAGAAAGCAGGTTTTAGCAGGTTCTATAGTCAGCCTCTGTCTCTACCCACTTCCTCCTGGACATGGCCTTTTCGAGGATGCCAGGAACTCTCCAACTGTGAAAATGGACAATTGCTGCCAGTCACTGTGGACAATATTGAACTAGGTGGACTAATGGTCTGATAAGGCAGCTTCCTATGCACCTAACCCAGCTCACAGGGTTGTTGTGAGAATGAATGGGGAGACTACATAAGCTACCCTGAACTCCTTAGAGAAAGGTGGGGAATAAATAAATGTAATTAATATATATATATTTTTTAAAATCCACAATAATTGTTAGATTCACTGAGACAACTCCATCCCATGTTGTTCACCACAAGGTGAGCACAAAAAACCACCGCAATGATTTACAGATCTTGTTTTCCAGGAAAATTTCTTCCTGATTACAGTTCTGGGAACTGATCTTTCTTCTCTTTTAACATGCTGAGAATGCACACTCAGCCATCATCAAAGGCACATCCTTTATGTACTGTAAACCCTGTAAACTCTATTGACTGACTTATGCTGATTTCTTGATAACAGTAGGGAAGAGAATCCTGTTGCCTCCCCCCTCATATCTAAAAAGCAATCAGGCTTGCGGTGTCTAAATTGTTTGTGATCAACTGTCTGCTTTTAAGTAAGAGGACTCATTAGAATGGATGTTGAAAGCAATCCATGTTTAGTTTGGAACTTGTATGTTCAGTTCTTATTCCTTACTTGAGAAGAGCTTACAGGCAAACTGTAACATTCCATGTCTCTCGGTACAATAATGTTTCCCCAAAGCCAACAGCAACAAAACGAAAAAGGTGCTAAAATAATTCCTTCTTGTGGCATTTGGCTACATCAGATTTCGTCTTGCAGAATCTGCTTTGAACCTTCAAAACTGTGTTTTGCTCATAGCTATGTCAACATCATCTCTGAGTTCCAAAAGACAGAGAACCTGACACTATTACCCTTCTGGAAACTGACATTAAATTGTCATTGATATCTGCTGGAAAGAGGGAAAGAAAGCAAATCATAGTAGAAGGGCTTTAAACAACAACAGATAGGAATCTATGTAAAATCTCTGCCGCCATTTGTATTGTGTAACAACAGAAGGGCAGGCTTTCCACCCAAACAACTAACTAACTAAAAATCTGCAGCCATGTGAGCAGCTAAGGGCCCATCTCCATGTGACATACAAATAAGTGTAAAAAACACAAAAAGAGCTGTTTTATTTGCATTTTTGTTATAGATATTTAGAATGTGGTCTCCCTCAGTTCAGAAATTGATGCTCCTTTATTAGATGAGCCCCAATACATACCCACACACCTCAGATCTGGCTGATAAATGGATTCTCTGCTGCTAGACAACCTTTCCTGTTGGTTCCTAAATGACTTTACTCTTGTGAGGTGGGGAGAGAGTGGTGGCAGGGAGGACTTGTGGAGACAGGAGAGGTTTTCTTGACCTCATCCTTAGGGTCTGGGCACTGAGAAGCATAGCATGAGAAAGGATATTTCTGAAGTGATAACATTATGCACGGAGTGAAGAAAGTGGACAGAGAAGTTTTTCTATCTGTCATCCTACTAGAACTCAGATTCTTCCAATGAAATTACTTGGCCATTGATTCAGGACAATCTTTACACAACAGATGGTTAGCTTAAAGGAATTTGCTGCCACAAAATGTGACGATGACTAGTAGCTTAGATGGCTTTAAAACTGGATTAGATAAATCAATAACAGGATAAAGTCTATCACTGACTCCTAGTCATGATGGCTGTATGGAAATGTTCCAGTCAGGATGCCCCTCTGTCCCAGTTGCTGGAGAGTAGCAGTGGGAGCAGGCTATTGCCCTCATGTGCTGCTTGTGAGTTTCCCAGAGACATCTAGCTGGCCACTATGGGAAAGAGCATGGACCTTTGGTTTGATCCAGCAGGGCTCTTCTTCTGTTGTTACAATGAAGTCATTTTCAACAGCTGCCATGTGCCCTTAGAGTTGAAGTGATGATGTGATAAGTAGAACTTCTATATCTGGTTTGTCATGGTGAGCAGCTGAGTCCCAAGATGAACCCTATATCTCATCAATCTTGCCAGAGATATGCTTTACAAGCTAGGTTGGCTCTACCATACCAGAAGACTATGTAGCTAGTTAAACCAGCACAATTAAAGAGACATCCCTTATCTAGAAGAAATATGTGTAGATGTTTGGGCTCTCGTGCTGCTTCCAGCATGGCCCACTTGCCATGCAAACTGAGCATTACTACAACTTGTCAGGGAGTTCTAAAGTAGACTCTCCACTCCTGCAGTGTTTCTGTCATCCTGTGCATGGTATAAAAATTGTTTTACCAACAGCTGTCATTACTGAATATGTGGACTTATAACATGATTGCCTATCACTCTAAATAACTTTTTACATGAAGGTTAGCTGCAACCAGGATTTCAACCACCCAGCAATGGAAAACCTTGAAAAATCTACATTTGTCTTTGTGGTATAAAAAATGACGGATTTTTGCTATTACAGAAAAGAAATGACACATAAATTGTGTCTCCAAGAGGATGGAAAACCCAGAGTACTTTTACGTTATCTGGTGGGATTTTATTTATTATGCTTCAGACTTAGCTGTTCAACATTCACCGTCTACACCAACTCGAGAAATATGGGTGTTTTGATTTATATTTGTGTGTTACCACATGTTCCTCTTATTATTTTTTGCTTCTTTCTTACCTTACTTTGTATGTGGTACCCTGCTACTGCACCTTTGAGTTAACAATGGCCATTATGTTACACACACACACACACACAGAGGCAACCCCTGATTTGCATGGGGGTCGCGTTCCTGGTGGAACGTGCATAAGACCGCCCTACCTTGTTCTGCCCCACCCCTGTTTTGCCCTGTTCCACCCCCATTATGCCCAACTGGTGTTTCTTGAGTACAAACAAGGCACACAGATTACTTCTCTTTGCATAGCCTTCGCCTACCAAACCCCACCTCATTTTGGGGGTGTGGGGTGTTTTTTGTTTTGAACATCTATTACATGAGAGTTTGAAAACTCTCCAGGCACATTTGGATACATTAGTGCAGTCCTGGAGTAGCTGAAGTCTTTTTTGGCTGTGTGCCTCACAAAGCACCCTAGGCAAAGAAGCAAATTTCCAGAAAGGCATGGCTTGTCATGTTACATTGCTCCACTGATGAAACTCAGATCCTCTAGGGATAGAAATATTTGTCTTGGCTAAAATGAGATAAAACTTTACCTCAGCTTACCACAGAATAAGATAAAAGGTGTTTGGATTTGTTCGCCTGGCCTCTGTACCCACTCAGTATGTGTCAGTGTCACACATTTTGAACTTCTTTCTTATCTATTTTGAAAGGGATTACCTAAGCATACCGGAAGACTTATAAGCAGAAGCAACAAAACTTGGTAGGCCATCAATAAGTATCACAGTTGCTGTAAATTAGGGGGGTGTTTTGAGGTAGTATAATGGGGTAATCAGTGTTTACAAATAGCATTAGTTTCCTCAGTTCTCACCAAGAGTTTGGATAACTGTTTATATTTGCATAGCTCAGTTGATTAGAGTGTGGTGCTGATAATGCCAAGATCATGGGTTTGATCCCCCAGGGGTGCATATTCCTGCATTGCAGGGGGTTGGACTAGATGATCCATGGGATCCCTTCCAACTCTATGATCCTATGATCTATATTGATGTGTGTTTCCCTGCTTAAGAACAGTGAGGATTTCTAACGGGGAATGTCTGGCTTTTGTCATTACCATTTACTCTGCATCCAGTGCATTCCTAACACTGGTTTTTGAAGCCAAGTACAAACATCATGTTAGCCACAATCTGTATCTATCCTTTTGTTTCTGGAGAAATATTACTGTTTGATGCATTATCCCTCAAACCAGCTTTAATCTGAACTGAAAGCTGAAGGCACAGTGCTTGCACATGCACAAATGACAACTTAATGAATAGGAGTTCCAGGGAGTGTTGCATCCCTGCCTGCTCTCCACCCATTGGCATGGTCAGACAGTGGGTGACTTAGAAACACATCAGACCTTACCAATGTTTATAACAATATGCAAATGTGACTTGAAATGCACCCCTCCCCCAAGATCTTGCTGTGCTTTAAGCTGGTAATGTGTATATAGTCATAGTTTTCTTGGGGTGGGAAAGGGCACTGGAAGGCACCTCCAGATGACCTGTTTATTGAGGATTCATCCTGATACGTTTCCAAGGAAATAGTCGTTCGCTATTTAATGACACAACCTTGATGGAAGAAAGTGAGGAGGAATTAAAGAACCTTCTAATGAGGGTGAAAGAGGAGAGCGCAAAATATGGTCTGAAGCTCAACATCAAAAAAACGAAGATCATGGCCACTGGTCCCATCACCTCCTGGCAAATAGAAGGGGAAGAAATGGAGGCAGTGAGAGATTTTACTTTCATGGCCTCCATGATCACTGCAGATGGTGACAGCAGTCACGAAATTAAAAGATGCCTGCTTCTTGGGAGAAAAGCAATGACAAACCTAGACAGCATCTTAAAAAGCAGAGACATCACCTTGCCAACAAAGGTCCGTATAGTTAAAGCTATGGTTTTCCCAGTAGTGATGTATGGAAGTGAGAGCTGGACCATAAAGAAGGCTGATCGCCAAAGAATTGATGCTTTTGAATTATGGTGCTGAAGGAGACTCTTGAGAGTCCCATGGACTGTAAGAAGATCAAACGTATCCATTCTTAAGGAAATCAGCCCTGAGTGCTCACTGGAAGGACAGATCCTGAAGCTGAGGCTCTAATCCTGAAGCTGAGGCTCCAATACTTTGGTCACCTCATGAGAAGAGAAGACTCCCTGGAAAAGACCCTGATGTTGGGAAAGATGGAGGGCACAAGGAGAAGTGGACAACAGAGGACAAGATGGTTGAATAGTGTTCTCGAAGCTACCAACATGAGTTTGACCAAACTGCGGGAGGCAGTGGAAGACAGGCGTGCCTGGCATGCTCTGGTCCATGGGGTCATGAAGAGTCGGACACGACTAAACAACAACAATTTAATGAGTGTTCATTCTCATTTGTTTGCAGGGATGTTAGATGATGTTGTGTCAATGCAAGTGTTACTCCACACTTCCCTCATAACTTTTTTTTTAATTGCAAAATGCCTAATATTTTGGGGAAGCAGTTTTCTTTTGCTGGAGCACGAAATGAACTACAGTTGCACAACCTGAATTTGTCAATGTGTGATTGAACCTCGCGTGAAAATAGTGGCTGTCTGGAAGTACCTATAGTGTCTTCATAACATTTGTTTTAGTTACAAATATACAGCAGCAGCACATCTGCTGATTTTGCATCATATTCCCAGAACTGCCCTTCCACTCATCCTGCTTTTTAAGGAACTCACAGCTCTCTGTTCTCCAAATGGAAACTGAAATCTGGCTCTGTATTATTTCTTTGCCTTCTTCTTAGCTAGAGGGATGTCATGTTCTTCAAACCCTGATGTTAATCATATACCAGCAGCTAGACAGAGATGCCTAGTTATCAGGAGAAAGCTGCCATTGGTTACTTATAATTAAGGAAGCATTAAGTGATCATCCTGGACTTTGAGTGAGCCATCAGGCTAGAAAAGGTTGTTCTCCCAGTATCTGCAAGGATATATCTAGTGGCTTCTTTGAAGTGTTTTCCACTTTGATCCTGAGTTTTAAACTGCACGAATATCCTGTATTAATGTGCACACTATTTTCAAGGACATCTGCTTAGAAACACGATGATCAGCCATTTTCCTCCACCAGGGGATCATTTAAGTATTACTATATTAGTGGTGAAATTGAGGACAAGAATTGCTTACGTCTTTGTCCTGCGACAGATTTATATTGGAGCAGGGAACCTATTTCAGCCTGAAGGCCACATTCCATCATAGGCAACCTTCCATGAGCCATATTTTGTTGTTTAGTCGTTTAGTCGTGTCCGACTCTTCGTGACCCCATGGACCAGAGCACACCAGGCACTTCTGTCTTCCACTGCCTCCCGCAGTTTAGTCAAACTCATGCTGGTAGCTTCAAGAACACTGTCCAACCATCTCGTCCTCTGTCGTCCCCTTCTCCTTGTGCCCTCCATGTTTCCCAACATCAGGGTCTTTTCCGGGGAGTCTTCTCTTCTCATGAGGTAGCCAGAGTATTGGAGCCTCAGCTTCACAATCTGTCCTTCCAGTGATCCGTGAGCCATATACTGTGGACTATTCAGCCTCTATTCAGCCTAGCAAGAGGTATTGTCACAGTTCAATGATACATTACAGCAAGGTAAAGTCACTAGAAGACGACACAGAGCAGGGTAGGGAGAGGTAGTCCAGGCAGAGTCCTGAGGGCCAAACAGAGGCAAAAAACATACCTTAAGGCATAAATAAAATTTGAACCTAAAACGTAAATTAAACTCTGTTGCAGAAACTAACAGACATGGCAAGAATCACAAAAGAATTACTCTCTTCAAAGTACAGCAGAAATGTCACGACACCAAAAAATAAACAGCTATGAGTTCTACAGAGTAGTGTAATTAGATGGAGGCATTACAACATTCATTTTCTTACTAACATGCAGTACAAAGTCAAACCAATCTGATCCAAAACTATCCCTCTTTTTAGTTCCCCAAGCCAATTTTATTTGTCATTTTTTCAACCAAGGCTATATCCCAAACCTTTTGATTCAAATATTATTTTATAGCTCCTTCCAAAAAAAAAGGTTAATCACATTTCTGTAGCATTTAGAACATGCCTGCACAATGTCTGACCCACTAAGCCATATGGAGCCCAGCAGTCTTGTGTGGATTGCCTGGTGCTGACAATTTCACTGTTCCACCATTACTAGAAGGCAACTGAAACATTTACTAGGCCATCATATGTATCCTGGTTATAATTTTTGGTTTGCTGGGTCACACGTTGTGGATGACTGCTTTAGAAGCCAATAAAATGTACCACCAACTCACAGGGCACAAAATTTGCTTCCCTTGAATTCAGGAAAGTTTTGTGAAACTGGAACAGTTGAAGCTCCCTCATGTATTTATATAGGTCATATGAAACTGATTTTGAAGAAGGTGACTGATGACTGATAGACACAGATTACTGGCTTGCATTATATAGTCCAGAAAGCATACATGACCATTCCCAGCTGTGGCTCCAACACTGGGTAAAAGCATCTGCCACATTAAATTACATTACAAAGGAAAGAATAAAGGAGTCCCTTCCATGCTCTTTTACCCAGAAAAAACAACAACCAAGAAACTTTAAAAGCCTGAGGATTTTTTTGTCTTGTTTTTATAAATATTGATTCATCTGATTGCTCTCTACCTTCCAGGAAACAGGAAATAGTGCAAACTCATTCTGGTATGCTCAGTGACTTCCAATCCCTGCTTTTTAGAAGAATCCATTATGAACTTCACTGGGGCAGTAATTGGATTTCTTTAAATATTCCCCAGAATCCCACATCTAGAGATTTATTTATTTTTACAGATAGATGCACTAGAACCACACTAATTACTGAACAAGATTCATTGATACAGACGGCTTACTGTTTTTTCCAGTGGCAGCGATTGTAGCTTGGCATGGCTGTGGGGGAATTGGGGAGGGCAAGGGTCCTCACCTACATGACTGCCAGTGGCACTAACAGCATTGGCCACTTGGGGGTCTTCTGCGTCAAATCACCAAAAAATGAACTTCAGATTGGCCAATTGTGGCTGGTTCAGTGGATGTGGTTTAGGGAGACAGAACTGGGGGAGCTAGTCTTCTCTCAGATACATCTCTATAGTATAAATTCCAGCTGTGCTGTGAGTGAGCGGCACAGTTGGAAATGGATGCCACCCCCACCCCCCCGTATCTCTTGGCTGTGCCTGAAAGTAGGCAGACGGTTCTGTAGCACAACCTTGCTGTGGAATTAATTGGTCGCCATATTCAGGGCCAGGGAGGACTTTGCTTGCAGGCAAATGGGGCATGTCTGGAGGTTTTGCCTATCTCATATTAACAGTCACAGCTTTTGACAGGAAATGCATTCAGTTGGATCCTTAGTCAAAACTAGAACCAATTTTTTACTTCGCTAAAGGGGTCCATGGGAAAAGTTTTGTCTGATTAGTTGTAGTTTCTGGGTCACCTTCAAAGGTAGTCCCACATAGAGCGCATTTCAGAAGTCCAAGCAAGAGATAATTAGAGCATGCACCACTCTGGCAAGACAGGCAGGTAGGGTCTCAGCCTGCGTACCAGATGGAGCTGATAAACAGCTGCCCTGGACACAGAATTGACCTGCGCCTCCATGGACAGCTGTGAGTCCAAAATGACTCCCAGGCTGCACACCTGGTCCTTCAGGGGCACAGTTACCCCATTCAGGACCAGGAAGTGCTCCACACCTGCCCGCCTCCTGTCCCCCCAAAACAGTACTTCTGTCTTGTCAGGATTCAACCTCAATCTATTAGCCGCCATATATTTCAAATATGATAAATATATAATTTCTTACTGTGCAAGAAGGTAAAATGAAGCCAAGACATTCCAATCACCTTTTTACTTTCTATGCCTATGCAACATGCACTGGACCTGATTTTAATTAGCTACTGAATGTCTTCTTAAAAGATATTCATCTCTCTCTCATGTAATCTTTTCAAT